AGAACATAGCTTAGATTCCTTCAAAATTAAAATCTGTCAAACCAAATTCTTCCTGTTTTGTCTAGCTTTTTGGTCTAAAAATCACTTTTTTCTTATCTGCTGCAGCCCCCTTACAATATAATACACTATAGTGTATTAAATCGTATTTTAAAGGCATTTTTCTTGTTTTTTATTACATTTAAATCCATTCTCGATTTATAACTTAATCTTACGTTTATTTTACCAATCGATTAATATATCCACGTCTAGCCAGTGAGTAGGTATTTACTTAATATTACCTGATACAATATTGTACATAATAATAAATTATTACTGTACACAATAATATAATACTATTGATTGGTTTATAGGCTGATAACTATAGGTATAGTTTCGTACGTCCAATGTAATGTTCTTAATTCGTAAAAGTGAATTTTTTTAATTGTTTTTTATTTTATTGTTGTTTGGTAATTTTGTAATATATACTTCGCTATTAGTTGTTTAAAATGGAAACTAAAAGAAAGGGTGGTGCTGATAAAATCCTAGAGAAAAAAGGAAATTCTCAGGAAAATCAAGTTACAGCAGTTTAAAAATCGACATATGTTTTTCATCCATTGTGACTCAGTTATAAAGTAATAGAAAACAAGTAATAGGTACATTAATAATCTTGATCTTAATATAAATTGATAAACAAATTGAATCTTAAGTTGTTTCCCGGGTAAAGGATGCAACCCTCATTTGTTAAAACGCTGGTAACATATTTAAGTTTTTAAATTTTTTGATGACAAAATGGCAAGGGCCGGTAAAAATATAGATTTCCCGGGCCGAATAGTTGCCCCAGTCTGCCCCTGGTAGCGCTATACGGTCCACTGACTCTCGCCTTTTCACCCCGCCATAATTCAACGGCCGTTTCGCTTGTCCGGTCACCAGCGATTCCGCAACACCAAATGTCGCTTCATTCGTGTCTATATTTGGTCTCTGCCGTCCGTCGTCAGAGTCGTCACCGTCAACCATCGCTCCCTCGTCCGTCTCGGCCTAGCTTCACGGGCCAGGCAAGGTCGTCACTCGCCCGAGCAAACGCGCCAGTGACACTTGTCTGCCCGAGGGACCGGTCGTGAGAACGTTGCAGAGCGGACCAATGGCCTAAAACACTATCCGCACCCATTCGCCATCTCGTATTCTCCCCTCCCGGTTTATCGTGTCTCCTGTCTGGAGTATTTAATTTCCTCATTTAATTATACCTATCTTGTACTTTTTCGCTTTTATATTGTTCTAAATTGTTTGTCCCCCTCCTTTTCAACTTTAAAAAGCATGTACACATAAAATGTAAATAATAGCCACTTTGAGCTATTTTTTCAAATAACTTATATCTTCTTTTTATCAAAATTGTTTTCCCCTTTTAAAAATCATTATCTACTTGTAGAGTGTTAATAATAGCAACTTTACTTTACTTTTTCCACTAACCAATTTCGTTTTTTCCTAAATGATATGTTCACCTTTTCGTATTTGAACCATGTATTTAAAAATTATTTTTTTTATTTTTTTTTTGCTTATTCCTGGCCTTGACGGTCCATCGCCGCTTCTACTACACCTCTCCACAATTCTCTGTTCTTCGCCAGTTGTTCTCCCTCTCTAATCCCCAGGAGCTTGAGGTCTATTTAAAAATTATATATTTATAAAATGTTTATGACTGAGCAACTATACTGTGTACGACGTTTATTTTGTTCAATTAATAAAAATACTTTTTGTATAAGTACACAAAAAATTATTGTTTCTTCATTTGTTATAGATTCAACGACTAAAAATCGTTAAAATATATATTTATATAGATATTATTAATGACCACTGACTTGCAGTATAAACGCTACACTAGTATTATAATATTATGTTACGAAAAATATTTAAACCATCAAACACTAAACTCGACGAAAACTGCTAAATATAAATCATAAAATAAAGCATAACACTGACGGATACGGTAAGGATAGGTATTAAACTGTGCGAGGATTGTAAATAATATGTATACGAAATGCGAACATGCAAACGTCAATATAGTCAAATTTTTTAAACAAAATTATATTTTACATAATATAGCTATTAGCTGCATGTCAAAAAATAATATTGTTTGAAAACATTTAGGGGGAAGTTTGAATTTGAAACCTTACACCCCCATGTATACGTGCCTCGAGTACCGATACCATATTTTCTAATTTCTATATATGTAATTATTGACTTGAGTTATAATATTCTAATCCGAACAAATCTTGTAACAGGTATCCACTGTACTCAGAAATCACTTTTTAACCGTATGTGAGTTTTGACAGTAATTTGACAATAATTTACCTAGTGAAAAATGTAATAAATTTGCGTAACACGTATATTATAACATAATAAGAATATAGCTTTTACGTTATGTGTCAATAATAATAATAGGTATGATTGTGTATAGTGTATACATCAATACATCATATAAGTTATAACCTCATAACTCACAAGTATAATAATATAACCATTGAGTATACTCCTCTCAGAATCTAAAAATATCAATATATCATTATTGATCTGGAACATTGAAGCTATGCTATATTGATTAAATAATTGCATTAAATAGTTTTTTCGACTTATCTCTATATTTGTTTGATTATAGACCTATATAGTACCTATTAAAAAATATAAATAATTATTTTATTTATATTAAAAAATATAAATAATTGTTATGTAAAATAGTAAAACAAATATATTATGATCATCTAACAATTATATCATTAATAAGAATGAAAAACGGGTAAGTGGATGTCGTTCCGATGTGCAGTAGGTTACAAGTGGGTCAATGTATAATGGATTGTATTAAACTTGAATTCAATGATATAATATCATTGTATAAGAAAAACGATTCTGAGCAGAGACGGTTTATCAGTCTGGATTTTTAAAATGTTTATTATTTATTATAGCCTTTAAGTTGAATTAATTTTATAATATTATTATTTTTTATTCGTTTCTATGGTGATACACAAAGTGTTAGAAATTAAAATCCAATTTTTAGAGGTTTTTCGTAATTTGTCGGTGGTTTTTCCTGTGGCATTAATTAATAACTATTGAGAAAATCGAAAAATGACCAATCTAAAGTACCATCTTGATATCCAATTTGCTAAAAGATAATGTACTATATGTTGAAATCGAAGCACTCCTTCTGGTAGAAATTTTGTATACAGGATAATATATAAAAAAAAAATAAACACCATTGTAAAACCAATACCTTCCTCGCTCCACTCAGAATCTAAAATTAAATGATTAGATAGGTAACATCTATATTTCTTTTATTTATATTTAATTAATATTACAACTTGTAATCTCCTATTTAAAATAAGCTATTTATTGGATTTTTACATTTGAGAATAACTCAATGATTATTATAAATTATCGATGTAGAATTAGTTTTTATATTAGAGTTAGTATAAATATAATTCGATATCTATTCTTATACTACTTATTAGTTATTAGTTATACATATAAATAAAATGTATATGCACCTAACCCTGCTTGTTTTATATTTATAGAATTGTAAGTGATAGGTATATAATACATGATTTTGAATAGGTACAAACACAAATAATAAAAATATAAATCCACAACCCTGTATTATACTCATACAGTAATACCATATATGTCCATGGATATATTATTATCAAATAGAAACAATGAAAAGAGAAATCTTTAATGCCTATACGATTGTACAGCAAAAAAAGAAATAAAAATATTAAGGTATAACTGGTACATTATAATATAGTCTTATATGTTCCAATATTGATCAGGGATAGCAATGACATAATATATTGCTCCAGAGCGGCACATATTATTATAACCATTAATCCGGGCCTGAGTTTCTGGAGGTCAAGTCGCGATCGTTGTGAGTATTGTAGTCAGGATGGCAGATCAAATATAACTTTATGGATGCATTAAAATCGGTGTCCTCCAGATACAATTTGATATAATTTAGCTGACAACATAAACCGTATGGCTGTATAGCGATCCGGGCTACAGTCGATACTTGGATTATTGGAGTAGTAATGACACGCACGCGCACAAGCTAAAAGCCACTACAATATTATGTATATAATATATATATATTTCGTATACGATACGACAATACGGCAGTGGTGAAACTAGAACCATTTTGGTGGGATGATTTCATATTTTTCACGAGGGGTAAAAAAACCAAAATTTGCCTTAATCTTATCCTTATAATACCTTTTTTATAATAATATGCATAGATGCATCATGCTTATATCTACCATATTACTATCAGAGTTTGGATAATCTCAAACATATAAGAAAAGCGACGCACTAAAACCTTTACTGCAATGTTTTTACCTTTAAAGTTTACAGGACATGTCCCGATTATTAATGGCGATAGCAACATGATAAATATTATAATATATCATCCACATAAATTCTCGTAGTTACTCCGCACGGCCATACGATATAATATTGGTGCTACCCACTCGATACGAATAGTGACCTGCACCGGAGGCGGACGAATGATGGACTCTGGAGAAATGAGTGTTTTAATATTTCAATTTTATCACGCGCGGGATAACAATATGATAATGATAATGATGATAATAATAACAATAATAATAATAATATCTATTATGAAATCATAATATAGTAATGGCAGACTGTCTAGTCGAGTGCGGTCGGTGGGCGGTGTGCGGGTGGAACTCGCGCGATGTCTAGCGGACGCCGAGCGCGGCGCATGTGTCGATAAAACGGCGTTTTGCCGCCCAAATGGAAAAACGAGTGAGAGGAAATCCGGATGAAAAAAATGCCGCCGCCGCCGCTGACGTTACGCCGTTTACGTACACGGCGGCGCGCTCGACACGCTGCGGGCGGCGGCTGTTACGGCTGTAATAACAATATTACACGCGCTGGGTCGCCCCTCAGTCTGCTGCCCAGTGTGTCATGTCTGGTCGCGCAATAAACGCCGAGTCGACCACTGTCGCTAGCACGTCCGACTTGAAATGCTACGAAACCTGCAAACGTCACATGGTTAGTATGAAAAAAAAAATCTTTAAAAATAGAATATTACAAAAACCGTCAAAAAAATTTTTTAACGAAAAATTCAATGCCGCGCCACTTCCACACAGCCACCCACGCCCCCGCGTTTTCGTTGTCTGTAAAACGTTTTCAAAGTCCACGCGAAATAATATAAATACGTTTAACATAATTTAGGTACCTGTATATTAATATCGCAAGTATTTCGTCTCTTGGGCACCAAAAAAAAATTCGTATACAGAGAAATTTTTTAAAATATAAAATCAAATAAATTTTGTCCTCAAAAATGTTTCGTTCAATGGAATTTTCACTACAACCGTATTATATCTTTTAATAATTACCATGTTGTATTATACATCAATTTTACATCATTATTATATTAGGACGTGTTATAATACCGTTTGCGGTTGTGTTTAATTTTGTTTGTAATATCAATGCTTACCTGTAATAGAACGTGCGTGGTGCGTAAAATAAAATACATAAAAATTAACAGAAGTGTGCCGATTCACCGGTTTATTATATGCGACGTTTTCACATAGTCACTATATACCTTAACATGTTCGCTGCGTATCATATTTGGCCATTTGGGTATACTTAATCGTGACACTGAAAAAATTGGAGTTTTAAAAAAAAAATTCCTAATAATTGAAAAATTTAAATATCAGTGTACAGTTTGCACTTGTTTATGCAAAAATGCTTATAGAGGACTCTGACGAAAAACAAAAAAATTAATCTTAACGCTGACCAAATTATAGTGTATTTAATAAAAAGAGGAATGACGCCAATTGGCGTCATTCAGCATATGCGAACTATGTATAATGACGCCACTTGGCGTTGTCCGCAGTGAACGTGTTAATATATTATATTATATGCATATTATATTTAGAAAGTACCTAGCTACGTGCCTACGTACGATATTAATTTATATATTTTTATAATAATATTAGCTGTTACAATATATAATTTTATAGTGATGGTCGTTTCGATTTCGAAAAAATTAATATTATTTGATTATTTTGATTATATTTTTAGCATAACTCATGGCGCAATCGATGCATCCGAGTACCTTTTAAATATTATTCATAATTCATATTACATTTAAAAAAAGAATTAACGGGTAGTAACTTGTAGTAGCTAGTAGTTGTAGACATTAGCAGTAATATATAACAGTATTAGTAGTTCTAGCTAGTCCAAACTATTTGGTGCAACTGAAAAACGTTCCTCCAGAGTCCCGTGGCACCAAACAACATAATAATACATTTTAATGAATAATATAATATTGTTCAATACTAAGAAAAAATCTTTTTTCCCTAATGCCGCGTGGTGATGTAGAACACAAAACAATTTTTTTAATTTTAATTTGCAGACGTATATCCTGCTATATTAGTTCATTATAAAGGGTATAAAACATTTTAATTACGACAAAAATATGCATAAGTACCTACATCCTTAAAAGTTTTTAAAAAAAAAATCCAAAATAAAATAACGTCCGGATGTTTCCAGTGCGTTAACGAAAAAAATATCACCCCGTGTACTATTATGATTATAATATTATATAATATACACTCTATGAAATATGCAGCATACGCGTTACTTATTCCCTGTGTATAGGTACAAAATATAATTCAATGTTATCGTGACGTTATATGTGTGCAGTGCACACCTTTAAAAAAAAAATGTAAACGCAAATATTAATACATTCTAGGAACACATATTTATATATAATATATAATATTAAAATTGCACAGACTGTAGAAGCCTTTTACGGAATAACCTCGGTATACGTGCTCAGGGAAGGTAGGTATGCCACTACATAAATGTATGCTCCAACACAGATGGTTGATTTTGATACTTTGAGATGACGGGTAAACAAAATCCCGTTGATCGAAAAATATGTAAAGGCACGTAAAGGATATAATTGTATGACATATGCAGTAATAATATTGATGGGTGATGGATGGATAAATAATGATTAGCCGCTGAGCTGTACCATTAAGAGTCGTCGAGCACATAATAATCATTGTTTTATAGGTACCTACGTCCTACACCTACCTAGCGTACACTATAATATAGTGTATAATGTATACACTCAACATTATATAATATTATTATTATTATTATTACAAGTCTTTAGAATATATAGTCTATAAATTCATAATATATTATGCAAAATGCGCTCGAACGAATTGCGCGAGTAAAAACATCCGGACCGTATTGTATTACAAGTGAATATAACAATATACTAGGTAGCTGGTACCTACCCATTAATGCAATTATAATAATATAAAGTTGGACCGCCTTAATTAAATTCCGTTAAACCATCCTCGTTCCTTATCATTATTTTAATCCTTATACTCTTCAATCCTCGAATTTTAGTTATACCTACTCAACAATATTATTATCCTTTGTTGTTGTTGGTTTTTTTTTTATGTAATACATTTTTATCAATGTTATAAAAAAAATGTTTTGCAATACAATTTTAACAATACGTTTACATAAAGTAATTTTACACTATACAGAAGAACTTAAAAGTTTTATTTGTGATTTTTATAAAAAATAACTACCAACTCACTATACATAATACTATGCTGTAATAGTTGTGCCTCCCTGCATTTTTTTATTAAATATTCGTATAATTGAACTTACATGATATACGGAGGGTTAGACAAAGGCTGTATTCAGTTGGTACCAAAATATCTATAGGTATAGATACGTTTCCGAGTGCGTTGTACGCCAAGTGTCATTTCACAATAAACTATATTGTGTACCGACGATATCCGTGCCCTGGCGTTATTTACACTAATGGAAATATTGGAAGGAAGCATTTGAATTTATCATTCTATGTATAGGTACCACCTACATTCCGATGGCGTTCAATATCCACGCGATAATCGCGATCGAACTACGAGTGAAAGGAAAACATTTGAAGAAATCGAGCACTTGGCGTTATCCGTTTGCCATTTTCCATCATCGTATGCCTATATTGTTATACCTATACACATTATTATCATTCTCTGTTATATCGTCGGTTCACACGTACAACGAGGATATTATAATAATATTATATCGTATTGAAATAAACAAAAACGTCGCTGACGATAAAAAAAATAATTGCGTCTGGCATATTCACGAGTGGCCTTATCCATATATTATTATGTCTTAGGGTTCAACAACAACAACGACACGAACGATGATGACTGTGGCGAAGGAGATGGCGAAACTGCTGGCAACGGAAAAAACATGCTGGCGCGGAAGCTATCAACTAAGGGAGACACTCTTTACCTCGAGAGACGGGTGGGACTCTTCAGTGGGGTGGCTCTAATTGTTGGCACGATGATCGGTAAGCAATAGTAAACCAATATAATAATACCGCTACAATTTTTTTTTTCTAATCCTTTAAATATTCGTTAAAATATATTTGTTGTAGTTAATTGACACCTCTTGGCCAGGGTTCACCAATTGGGTGGCCCACGGACGTATTTTATGTGGCCCACAGATAAGAACTTTATTTTTTAAATTATAATTTTCATGGTGAATTAAATGAGGTTTTAATTAAATTTTTTATTTCGCTTTTACTTTCTTTGTTTTAATAAATATGCACATTGGATTTTGGTGGCCCGAAAACTTTTCCCGGATCCCGAATCACCTGCTCCAGCCCATGCTTTGTTTAACATACATCGTATCAGTTTGACTGCATTATAGTATTATATTAAAATAACAATGCACAGAATGATACACCAAGCATGCTCACCCCCTTTTTTCATCCAGTTATTTAAAATCTGGTTATTGGAATTTTTAAATATTCTTAAGCTTAACGATTATATATTCAAATGTTGTACTACTCTGTACACAGGAGTGTTTTGTGGAGATACAAAAATTTCCTTTTTTACTATAAATTATTTAATTGGTAGTATTACTAAACGTTTTGACGTGTCAAAATCAAAATTCGAGTTATTGAAGTACCTATTTAACTTTGTGTGCTAAGGATGATAGATCTATGATAATTTGATTGGGAGATATGGTTGCTTTCACAATTTAAAAATGTTAGCAATTAGTATTAATTTATCAACATACATAATATTTGTAAGATTAGTCCAAGTATAATAAATATTAAATACTAGATCGAATAGGTATTAATGTATTACCTGCATATATTTTATATTTTGTGTAGGTATTTAAAAATACCGAAAATCAGAATTTGAATAAACTAATTATTTAAGGAAATAACGTGAGTGAGCAAATGCTTGCCATTTAGTGAATTACTCTTCATAATAATAACATTTCTATGTTAAGTCAAAATGTCTTCACTCAGCTACTTCATAAAATAAAAAATAAAATATAAGTTAGATCGTCTGCTAAGTACTGAATAGTTTGAACAAGGTGGAGGCTCTCCTGATTCACAAATGCTTATTATTATTTACTATAATCTATGACGGACGACGATTTAAAGAGAACAATATATACTATATTTAGGTACAAGTAGTCGAATGTTTATGATTTTCTAATATACGATTCCTATATAACATATTTTAGTCTATAATAATTCTAACTGGGCTTAATATAATATCATTTAATCATGTATAGTATATACATCAATTTATGAGTAATGAGTATATATTATGTGTATTGCGTAAGTCAATTTAACCAGCTACAAGTATAAAATTATATAAAATCTAATAAAAAATTAAATTAATTTTTATTCAGATATAGTTAAAAAGTATGAATATTTTTATAAATTGCACTGCAGTAGATGCAGTACTGCAAATTATTGCGACGTTAAATTAGTTTTATGTCACCACTCACGACATAAACTAGATATGGAGTATGATGTATAGATTTATGGTATTATATTATAGTAAAAGAGCTTCTGGCTTTAGATTACATTATAATAATAATAATAATAATATATACAGTTTGGTAATTACTTTTAGATTTTAAATTGAAATTCTGTGAGGTTAAAAGTTATAACTGACATGCTATTAAAAGTTTTCAATTACCTACCTACAATAGGTGCACTTGTTAACGGTCAACGAAAATTGGCTTTTAATAATATATTGGTTTTATTAACTCGTTTGATCTATAAAACTCTTCTTGCATTTAATGAATTATTATTTTTATATTATATTATTATATTTTTACGAATGATAATAATACAATAATTTATTATTATGCATAATAATTATTGCTTATAATATTATTATTATTATTATTGTAATTATAGTAGAAAGGAAATCTCGTAATCCGTTTTCCTGGGCCCTTCCTGAAATTAATTAGATTACTAATCGGCAAAATACTACGATCCAGAATACTAGACATTTCACGGAAACGTTTTCGACTGAAAAATTAAATTAAGAGTATACCTACAGCAGGAAATGCGTATATATTATATTACATTTTACATATTACATTTAATCGTATACAGCCTCAATAATTAACCTTATTAAAAACTTATTTATATATTATTATTATTATTTGTGTGCACAATATGCGTATAAGTGTAGAACTGTAGTTAGTACATTTTATAATATAGTATGTTGTACTGTATAATATACAATAATATTTTATTCCATGCCATCTTAGAAATACAAAACAAATTAAATCATTCTTTTTTATCTATAAAGTACATATTATATTTCGTGCTTCCGTGTACATAATATTATGATTTCATTATTACATTTTTCAAACTTTTGTGAAGTTTAATAAACATCGCTAACAATGTTAAAAGAATGGTTATTAATTATTATCAGATATTGATGGTTAATAAATTGACAAACTCATTTACTATCAGTATTTTGTCGTTAATATACAGGCTCTGGAATATTCGTTTCTCCTACTGGACTGCTGATCAGAACCGGGTCAATAGGCCTGAGTTTTGTCATATGGGCAGCATGTGGTGCCATGTCACTGTTGGGTACGTTCGTATTATCTAAATTAAGTTTCTATGCCTGAGTAACAAAAAAAAAAAAAAAATATATAATAAAAAACAACTGTCGCTTTTCATCTATTTTTAAAACTAAACATTTCAACAAGTATTTTAACCCGAACACGTTCGTCATTCGTCACACTATTTTCGGAAATATAATAATTGGACCAGCAATAATTGAAACGGAAGTATGCGGTCGATGCCAGCATACACGATTGTCTTAACTTTTGAGTGTCCTTAAAAAAAAATCAAAAACTTTTAATTTGTTATAAATTTGTATTATTTTTTTCGAATTTCATTCTCCCACAGGAGCTTTAGCGTACGCGGAACTGGGTACGATGAACCCCAGTTCTGGCGCCGAATACGCCTACCTCATGGACGCCTTTGGACCAATGCCTGCATTTCTGTTTTCTTGGATATCCACATTGATACTCAAACCGTCACAGGTGGCTATAATATGTTTGAGTTTCGCCAAATATGCTGTCGAGGCATTTGTCGACGAATGCGGTTCTTCAGATGTTGTAGTGAAGATCGTCGCGGTGCTGTCTATTTGTGAGTTCAAGCCAAATGTAACCTATCCTCGTTGCTTACTAATTAGTTTGTTTCTACGATAACATATTTAACTTTTCTCGACAATATTTACACAATTTTCACGAGCCGATTTTTAAATAAAACAGCATAATAGCTATTGAGCCGATACTTAAAATACTTTAATCAAATAAAATTGCATCAAATTTGTAACATTCATAACATTATGATTTAGAATTTAGATTCCTAATGAGTTAAAGTTATTACAAAATTTGAAAAATCTCCATGCACTATTAAGTATTAATAACACTTATTGTAGTTTTTGAATTTTTTCTCATGCACCGTTATGTATATCTTTTACCTAGTTACTTAAAAGTTAAATAATTCTGCACTATATAGTTAGTATTGCCAGTGGCGTATTTACGGGGGGGTCCCCGGGTCTGGACCCCCCCAGAAAAAAATATAATATAATATAATTATTACATCGTAACTCGTATGTGTTTTTTTTATATTATAAACTTGTAGGTACCTAATATTTAGACCCCCCCCCCCACAAAAAATTTCAAAATACGCCACTGAGTATTGCATTATAATATTTTTATCAATAGTATCTTATAAATTATAATAGTACACCTAATGGTCAAACTATAACAATTATGTATATTTTAAGTCTCCATCTTGGAGATTATACTCTCGAATGTTTAAGTTTCTCCAACTTCCAAGTAATAATGCACTATCATTAATTTATGAAAAAACAATCCATAGGTAACACAAGGCTGTGAGGGGTAAGGGTTTAGTTGCACGACGAGCATGATGTGTACCTATGATGGTTTATACTATTGTACCTATTGTTTTTTAAAATAATATTCATCGGTGATCGGTCTCGAGACGTATCCGTTTAACGTTAACTTCCATCCGTTCATAATTTTATTACGCTTTGAAAAGCACAAGATAAAAACTGTCACGAGACTTTAAAACAAATTATTCGTGTTATTTGTTTGTCCAGTGATCATCACGTACATAAACTGCTACAGCGTAAACTTGGCCACCGGAGTGCAAAACGCGTTTACGGCTGCGAAGCTGGTAGCTGTTTTCGTGGTGGTCGCCGGGGGTGTGTACAAGATCATCCAGGGACGTACTGAACACTTTCGGAATTATTTTGAAAACACGACCACAAGCATGGGTGACGTGGCAACGGCGTTTTACTCGGGACTGTGGGCGTACGATGGTTGGAACAATCTCAATTACGTCACCGAAGAAATAAAAAACCCTTCAAAGTAATAATAATATTATACAATAATAGCAGGTAACTTAACACGTCTACACCGGCCAAATAAAATAACATATTTGCCATGACGCAGTATTATAACATATAATGTAAGGCTCAACGTAGATATAATTATTTATTAGTAACTAATAATTACAATAGTACACAGGCTTGGTTCCCGGGGAAGACCCCCCCCCCCTCAAATATTTCTCTGGTACGGCGCTTGATAGTACCAATATATAACTGCATACATACATTAAATATATTAAAATAAATATTATACTATAATATTATAGTAGGAAAATAAGATAAGGTAATTTATTTTTATTAGGTACCTACCAAGTACGGTTATGATAATTATTGATAAGAATCCAATAGTTTATGCAATGTTAAATTGTTTTATATAAGACCATGCATGGTCGTGATAAACATAGCCAGAAGGTGGTCGAGTTTAATTACAACAGCTTTGAAGTTTGAAATAAATTAGTTAAATGTTAATTCAAACTTTAACTTTAACTATAAACTTTAATTAAGATCCAGAAGTAATAAATGAATATTATAATGAATTTACATGGTTGTTTGTAACTGCGAACTATGATTGTATGGTTTTGAGTAACTATATGTGATGAATACCTAGATCGATGTGATTTAAATTTTTTCTTGGACATTTATGAGTAGCAACTTGAATGTGTATTATAATATTAATAAGTAATAACTAATGGTTAATATTTTATAATATATATTATAAGCTGTTTGATCTTCAGTATTCTTCACCAATTTAAGTTTAGCATACCTTATCTTACCTTAGATACCACTTGAGGACATTTATCGCAGTAAAGGTATATGTTTTCACTTGGGGGATCACAGACTCAGACCACAAACTAAGATTGCGTTCACGTTATCTTGGTTTATTCTAGACGATTCTACGTTGCTATCTAGAATTTTATAATTAAATATTTCATCATTTAACATTTAGTCGTCTTCAAAATTTTGAAGTGCTAAAGTTTACAAGTATTGATGGTTTTTGAGAATTATTATACTGGATACAGTCGATACAGATATTATCATGAAATTCTTTTACTATAAGAAGAAGATGATGAGGTTTTGCTCTGATTTTTCAGGTATTTGTCATAAGAAAAAAGAAAAGATCATGATCCATTATTTACAAAGAGAAGTACCATAAGTTATCTTAAATACTTATCAACACCCAACGGCCATTTAGGCTTTAACACTTTCATTATTGTTGTTGACTATTTTTATATTATGATAAATTCTTATTAAGTACCTATTGCAAATTCTTGAGTTCGATGAACTTTTATAGGTGATAATATAATTTAATATACTATGTTAATCTATGTGTGAACGATATAACATAACTCCATTTTGTAATTTTAAGGAACATTCCAAAAGCGATATACATTAGCATACCATTGGTGACGATGTGTTACTTGTTGGTGAACGTGGCGTACCTCACCATTATGTCACCTGACGAAATAGTACGAAACGAAGCTGTTGCCGTGGTCAGTATAAACACACACATTCACACAAACAAACACACACATAATACATGATGACAATTTCTACTTTTAAATGGGAACATTTTTCAGGTGGTTTTTTTATTAGTACCTTTTAAGATATTTAAGAACTTTAAGTAGGAGGTATATGTATAAAGTATAGACGTGTATGGTAAAAAAAATTACCAACACTCAGAATATTCACTGCTCATGTGGTACGTTTGTCGATGGGTTATCAATAAATTTACATTATATCAGGGCTACAAAACGTTATAAGGGAAAATAATGAAAAACTAGATCAAATCAATAAACGAAAAACAGAAATAATATAATATCATTAAACATAATATTATATCATTAATCATAATACTATATCATTAATCATAATTAATGATTAAACATAAACAATAAACGTAACATAAATACATTTCTTATAAAGTTATTCGAAATAATGTTAGTGCTTTTTTTTACTTTGAACTTAACATTACTATTGTTTTTAAATCTTGTGAAAAACAATGCTTATGCGCACAGACGAGTGTTTACTTGATTGGCGTAAAAAATACGCAACGTGCTTATAGTGCTTAGTGCCTACTTTAATTGAGCGCCCCCCCCCTCCTCCTGTCTGTTAGCCTTATAACTATTATTATACCTATAATATTTTAATACATCGAAACTTTGTGTTTTATTATTAGACTTTCGGAATCAGAGCACTGGGCTCCATTGCCTGGGTGATACCGCTGTCAATCACTATATCCACTTTCGGATCGGCCAACGGCACATTGTTCGCCGCTGGAAGACTATGTTTCGCAGCCAGCCGTGAAGGACATCTGATGCACGTTCTGTCGTACATTCACATAAAAAAGCTCACGCCCATGCCAAGCATCATATTTCACGTAAGTGACTGAGTGATGGCACAGATTTTGGAGTCTGCGTGCGCGCAACCGAATAGGTTGTTTTTAATATTATCATCGTTTAACGTGGTTTGTGTAGTAGTACAAATGGTCAGCGATACCGAATTTATTTTCATATCATTTTTTAAAATGTAATACAGTAAAACGCTTTTAAAAAAATATTAATGATTTTTTTTAACACAATATCAGTGGAAATTAAACGATATTTGAAATTTAATCGTTTCTCTTCACTAGTACGTACTACGTAGGAACTATATACGTTAAAGTAAAATGCATTTCGGAAAAGAAGAATGCGACAAAACTCAAACAGAGCGCAATGGCGTTTTTGCTGATAGCATGTCGACCGCTAGGCCTCTTGCAATTTTGCATAATTGACGTTTGTGACACTCGACTTATTTTCTTATTCACTCTTTCAGCTCGAAATTCTCAGGCCTTCCTTCAAATAAATCCGAGAATGTACGTAATATTAAATCACCCGTTCGTTCCTCGTATTATGCTCTGGTCTTTTGACGCTATATAATTTTACTCTATTTTATTATGCCCTCGTTCGGGGTCGAGTACCAAATGTGATGATGCCCACTATTTTATTTTAGTCGATCATAACGATTGTGATGGTGGCCTCTGGTACGATCAACTCGCTAATAGACTTCTTCAGTTTCACGGCGTGGATATTCTACGGAAGTGCCATGTTAGCGTTGCTAGTGATGCGCTACACAAGACCCGACGTGCCGAGACCGTATAAAGTGAGCTCACGTTATATGTTTCATTATAATATTAAAAACTATTAATAAAAACGACTAACTGACAGATATACTAAGACTTTTGTTCAATATATTATATATGCATGACTAAGTATATATGATGATATTCAGATATTCTACCGAAATAATTCGGGTGACTAAAGGGTAGGTTAGGTTTGGACTATTCAATTATAAATGTATAATGCCTAATTATTATCAGATTTTTATTATAAATAATAACTTGTGAATGTTCTTAATCATAATAATAAATTTATAAATTTGTAAAATTGAATGAACTGGTGAAAAAAAATTGAGGATAAGAACCTATATAAAAAAATTTGCAGATTAATATCTAGTTACCGTTGTACCAATACTATATAATTTGCCAACGGACAACCAATTGCTTTTAAAATATTAGACACGATATATAAATCAAACATCAAACAGAAGGTATTTTTAGTTGCCTTTTTAATTATAATACAGTCGGACGTACCTAGTTAACTCGAACTTCTTTAACTCAAAATCGTCGATACCTCAAACTATTTCCCCGGTCCCTATAATTTCCGATAGTTGAATTATCCTTGGATAACTCGAATTCTTCGATATATTTCAAGTTCGAGTTAACCACGTTCGACTGTGAAAATCTAATTGACCATCATTATGAGTATAGTTTTTGACGTTTCTTGGACTAGAAAATTATTTTTTTCGTTTTGATCTACATTAGTGGCAAGTGGGTAAAACGCATATCGAACACTACCAAAGTACCCAATAAGTACTATTTCATAAACAAACATAGCTATACAACTTATACTAATAGAAGTATGGTTTATTTTTTCAGGTCCCCATAATCATTCCGTTAATCATATTTGTTATTTCCCTTTATTTGGTGGTAGCACCCATAATAGATAAACCTCAGATCGAATATCTGTATTCGGTGATGTTTATGATAGCCGGGATGATATTTTACGTGCCGTTCGTACGCCTGGGATACAAATTCCGTATAATCGGTGAGCGTCATACCAAATGTGCACTGACTGTGGCAGCTCAGACACGACAGTGTTATATCATTGTTATTCCGTAATCCGTGTACACACATCTTCATTGATTTGAATTTTTTCTTATATATATATAGATCGGTGGACGGTCATTATACAGTTGCTGTTGCAGGTAGCGCCCACTAAATTAGTGCTGCCAGAATAAAGTTGAATAAGCAGTCAAGTCTTCCATTAATTGCATATCCAGTTATCAAAATAGACAATACAGTATAATATTGTAATACTGTATATATTATTATTATATTATAGAGTTACACAAATCCAAGCAATTTGTAAAAACGTCATTAAACAGTGGTTTATAATATTTTGTATTTTGTTAGTGATTATTATATTATTACCTAGTTAAATATGCTGTATACATATTACATATATATTATAATGTATCGTTCACCACAAAATACATTATGTTTGACGATACCTATGTTAATAAAGATTTGTTTGGTGCGAATGAAAATAATAAATTTGGTTATTTTCTACCATCCATTTAATACCTATTCCACATTTCCAAATAAGACATATACATAAAATATTATATTATATATTCGATCCAAAAATAGTACATATAAAAAATAATACAATTTTTGATAAATAAAAAAAAAAATTTCGATAATTTTTTGTTTAAATACAGCCAGAACAACATTTATGGGAATATTTATATTACATTTTTTAATCGTACTTTTTTAATAAAGAAATTAAAAATTGTAAAGTATTTAGCTAAAATATAACAAAATATTGTTATAGGTTTTACATTTTTTTATCGATTATTCTGAAAAATATTGAGAGAAACTTCCCTCAAAATTGAGGATCGAGGCTTTTTACTGCTCCTAAAGGTGACGTCAGAAGGTAAAAAAAAAAACATCATTATGACAAAATATACACTCAATAGGTACTCATCGATCCTCTCAGAATCTATAATACGAATAAATATGAAAATAACATATACCTAACTGCAATTAAACAATCAAATTAAGTTCTTAACTGATGTATTTCGTCATAGTGACCTATATCACCACTTTTAGATGCTGTTTTAGATAATATATTTTATTATTTTGTTTTAATTATTAATTATTTAATGGCAAATTAAATAGTATTCATATTTAATTCGTATTAAGCTCAATTAACGGACTACAGTACATACATTACAATTTAGATGATATATATTAATACATTGTACCTACATATATTACCTACTCATATTTTAATCTTAAAAATAATTACAAGGAATTAAAATAATCTTATGTTAAGATAGACGATGAGACGTACCTATAGAGTGTAGCAGATAGGTAACTGACATTACTGAAAACAATTCTAGTTTAATACAAATATTTCTGTCACGAAAATTAAGATAATTAATGGTAAATGAGAATATTTTGATACGATAACATTAATCTTCGGCGTGTCGTATGGAACGGATGAAAATTACGCAATAAGATGACAGAACGAGCGAAGAAACTCTCGTCTTAAAACTAGTATATATAATACATGTAAGAGAAAAATGTGGAATTCCGGGCAGTGTACAAAATACTAAGGCAATTTCATCCTGCTCTGGAAATTTGAACCACGAATTATACTATCAAATAATTTTTTATGCAATATTTTTTATTAAATGTATTCCTTACCTACTCAAAAACTATTCAACCGATTTTGACAAAAGTTTCAGATATTGTTCTCGAGATATCAGAAATATTTAGAGAGTATAGTTTGAACCACGTTCGAAAATATACCAAGTTCTATATGCCTATATATCTAATCCGTTAAAGGTGGATTAGCCTACATGGTCGAATTATTTCACAAAGCGAGGTGTGTATAATATGTATACAAATTCTGATTTGTCTGTAAACTGGACAATAAAACAGGGATACATCGATAAAGCACCGTGTTTTATGTTTTTTCCCGTGCGACGTCAGGATTACAGCTGGGAATTATATAATATTGATGAAAAACAAACAACAATAAAAATTGATTAATATTATAATTGTATTATTACCTGCTATATTCTGAATAATATAAAACAATAATAATTCATTGTATTATGTCATGAATATTTTGTTTATTTTTGTCATGAAAACAATTATAATACTGATAATAATTATGTACTTAATATTGATAGCACAACGCTAGACGAATAAATCAAATAAATTATTATTCATTATTGTATTTATATTATTTACAATTTTATTAGTTCCTATTTACAATTTACAATATATTTGTACATGATTTACTAGCAATAAGTACATTGAACGTAACATATTATATACTAAAAAGACTTAATGACAATGTAGTAAGAATTAAAAATAATATATGGGTTAAATCTAAATTCTGGAAGTAAAAACTTCAGAGTACCCAGTGCAGGTCGTCTAATATATATAGGTACTAAAATAAGAAGTGTAATTTTTTGGATTATCCACTACAAGTTTAAATTAGATATTTAGTATTTAGGTATAACAGCTTGCAGGTATTATAGCCTATAGGATTCAGAGTCGAAAGTTTTGGGATCGTATTGTTATTATTATACTTGGCATATCAATTTATTATAATAAATAATAATTCTTATTTTTTTTAACTTATACAATTTTTTGTTAAATCTCTCTTGACTTCCATCTTATCAATTTAAATTTTTCATATGGATACCTTGTATATTAATATATTATATTGTCACCGACAGGGGCTCAATAAGAAATTTGTCCTGGGAGAGAGGGGATATATTTTTTTTTTTAGAAAATACTAAATTTTCAAGTACATTGGTGAGATTTATATATATTTTTATATATATCTCACCAATTTCTTATTAAGCCACTGTCGGTGACAATATAATATATTAATATACAAGGTATCCATATGAAAAATTTAAATTGATAAGATGGAAGTCAAGAAAGATTTAACAAAAAGTTGTACAAGTTAAAAAAAATAAGAATTATTATTTATTATAATAAAATAATATGCCAAGTATAATAATAACAATACGATCCCAAAACTTTCAACTCTGAATCCTATAGTACCTGCAAGCTGTTATACCTAAATACTAAATATCTAATTTAAACTTGTAGTGGATAATCCAAAAAATTACACCTCTTATTTTTGTACCTATATATTGTAATAACATTATAAGATGTTATGTTAACAAAAAAGTTTTATTTTTAACGAGATTCGATTCCGACCATTTTGTTTGTGAGCATGGAGCAACGAATCTATTGATTTTACAATGATGTGTGTTTTTATTTTGCAGTCGTCACCTTTTGAAACAATACAATGCTTCATTTTATCTTTAAGGGTGGTTTCTGGTAGCAAATTGTAGCTATTTGGCACTTGGGGAGAGGGGGCCAAAATGAAAATATTCTCGTTATTTTTAAAAATAATCGGAAAAAAAAATTAAGGAAAACTGCAAATCTTACGGAAAACCCATTTTTAACCAAAATTGATTTTGTTTCCAAAACGAATAACCATAGATGAGAAAAATTTTCACTTAACATTTTTATTAGCATTTTAAATTTATTATGATTTCACTTTTGATTTAGAAACTCTTTTAGAGCTGTTTATATAGATATTAAAAATTTTTCATTTTCCATACATTTTGCTTGGTCAAAATGCTGGAAAATGTATTATGAGATTCCTCATAAGGAGTTAATACTAAAATCAAAAGATCTAAAAAATACATTAGACATTAGTACAACTTTCTTTTAAAGACATTTTAAGTTCAAATTTGAACGAAACTAGATACTTCAAAGAAAAAAAATAATTTTAGTTATTTTGTTATACTTTAAAAAACAATATTCTTGGGGGCTTGAATTCGTATAGGTACTATTATGTATTTATACAAACAAAGATATTATGAAACACAATGTTTTTTGGCAAAAATGAATTCAACCTACTGTATACTAATAGTAAAATAAATTGCTTTAATAGCAACATACATAATATAATAAACAAATAAAATAAACTTAGTAATGTACAAGTCATCTAAATTGAGAATTATTTTTAGAATGCAACGGTTCATAATAAAAAATCTTACAGTTAATTTTAAGTTTTAACAAAAAAGCATTACCTACAATGACTTACCTACTCATTGACGAGATACACTCGAAACCTACAACTGAAGAGAGGGTACTTACTTATCCCCATTTTTTTTTTATGAATATAATATTACCTACCTTATTTATTTTGAGATTAGTAATAAGAATTAAATATATTTAAATAAATAATAAAATTTGGTACAATTTCATAAGCAGTTGAACAAATAATTGATATTTTATTAAAACGGGGGTTTTTTTTTTGAGTTATTAGCAAATTGGGAATCAATTTCCTGAAAAATTACCTTTTTTGACTTGTGTCATTATAGTCTCCGGATCTCGACATGTTAATTTATGTTTTATAAAAAGGGAGTTAAGACTTAAGGCCATAGGCCATAGCTAATATAGAAGAGGGGCGAAGCCCATTCCTAACTTGCCTATAGTATTGATAATAAATTATCCCTCCATTGAAAATCGAGCTCTGTATCCGTAATTACGAGTTAACTATTAAATACATGGCATAAAGAAATATAGGTTGAAATGAGAATATAGATATTGTATATTAGTATATTCGCCTAGAGATTACGACGAGTCAGTGCCACTGGTAAAATATGCTGCAGGTGGCGCTCGCTCGTATATTACTAACAATTTATAATAGTGTTTCGTACTTTCGTTCTATTACACATATTGTATATTGTATTGTATAGTATACTGCCTCGAACTCTAATCTATGTATATAGACACCATACAAAAGTCCGTGGGATTTTCTTTTGTGAATTTATGATGGTTGAATATCCAGTATTACAATATTATTTTTTCAATAGTAGCGTGGTTTTTTAATACCAAACCTGCAAAACAAAAAAACATTTCACATTATTTGAATTTTATGGTACCTATGCCTATGCGTGTGTGTGTGTGTGTTTGGGGAGGAGGGTATTTAATAAATAGTTATAATTATAAATTATAATATAATCGAAAATAATATTTATTTTAGTCGAACGGTCGAACTCATAGTGTTAAGGTTTAACAATTGTCAATTTGTCGTTATCGACGGGTGTTGAATATTATTTTTGTTAAAATCTAACATATTATTATTATTAAGGTTGTATACTTTAATACGTATAAATAATAATATAAT